TCCCCCAATTCTCAATATGTTATTAAAAATAAAAACAGTGTTGTCTGAGATCAACTCCAGAGCCGTTTGTAAGCCCCTCTCTTTCATTAGCACCTGCTACGTCACAGCAGCGCTATTTGGATAGCAACAGTACTATGTATACTTGTTTGTGTACACACGTCAGTTAATAAAAGGCACTAGTCAGAATCTGGCTTCACCCCCTCCTCTTTTCTTCAGACCCAGTAGATTTCCACTCATTCTGTTTCCACCCTCAATAGACCTCACCTGTCAAATATTTAAAGCTGTCATGAAGGCTGTAAAAAAATACGTTGCTACTAGTTTGACCATCATTTGCTCATTACTTTATAACCAATTTGTAAAGAACTAAAACAATGACTAGATTAATGTTTTACGACCCCTCCCCCCCATTCTAAAACTGATGCTCAGAGTGCTTTTGGCACATTTGGTGAGTTCATGTGAATGTTTGTTGACCCACTCCCCTTTCTGTCTGTCTGGCTGGTCAGACCCCACTTCATCATTTAGCAGGGAAAGCCACAGGGAGAAAGTGAAGGATTCCAGACATACCTGCACCACCCCCCTCCACATGGAGCGCCCCCGGTGGTGTCCTCACACGACTCGAGAAAATAGAGAAGGAGCTAAAATGACAGCAAAGCTTCCACTGCTGTCCCAAATTCAACCTCAGTTCATCTATTCATTTAATGCTGTGGTTCCTAAACATGATCCTTGAGGAACGCCATCCTGCATGTTTTGTTTCCCTGCTCCAACAACACATGATTCAGTGATTTTATTATTTCCTGAAGTTCTGCCAAAGCCTAAGAACCCATTCATTCAAATCAGGTGTCAAAGCAGGGAAACAACCAAAACATGCAGGATTGGGTTCCTCGAGGACGAGGGTTGGGAACCACTGATTTAATGAAAGTTAAATACACACATGGACAGAGTGTAGCAAATGAAATGAAACTGTTGAAAAGGCATTTGACTGACTGTATTGCTACGATTGGCAGAGTATGGACACATTTTTACATGGTCCATTTTTAGTTTCAATCATTTGGCTGGTGTGCCATCTTAAGATTACAGGTGGCTCCCATCTGGCCACCTCTTATAAATTGTAAGGGGGTGGAACAGATTTCACATTAATGCAAACACATGCACAACAGCTGTCTTTCTCTTTCTAAAAGCTATAATTGATGCTTTTTCCGACTTATTTTCTCTGGAAGACTCAAGTTTTTCTCTCACTGAGTCTGCTCGAGTACTGTAAAGGCATGGTGTGGCTCCAGTCAAAAGACGCTTTGCAAACTGTCAGACAGGTAAGCCTCCATTACGCACAAGGTACGGATCCTAGGTAAACCCATTAATGCACCACTGAAGGGAAAAAATGCCCAAAGACTGCAGCACTGAGCCAGAACCGAGGCTGATGAGACCAGGATCCCGAAAGACAGGCGAATTGCTTCTGTATATGTCAACACCTACTAAAGTACACAAAGAATACGGTCCATTTTATAGAATGTCAAACAAATCAAAACTAGGACGTTGCCATGAGACGTAACGATGGTCAGGGTTTGATGAATGGGTAAACAAGTAGCTAGTTCAATATTGGCATGATTTACATCAAATCAATCAATCAAGGTGGAATTAATTAGCACTGGTTACCTATTTAGAGTACCATCAAAGTTCATGCTCAATAATTCAGGTAAAAAAGTTAAGTCAGGTCATCTGGACAGTTTCTTTCTTTTTTTGTTGTTGAAACATTTCGTCCTTCATCCAGAGGACTTCGTCAGTCCGAGGAGCCGCAACAAATTTAGCCACACAAGCAGCACACTCGCATAGTGGACCAACCACAAGTACACAAGAACTGCCCAAAGTGCACAAGTGCTGGAAAATTGTGTTGTCTTACTGATGCAGAAGGAAGAATGCTTTTTAAAAAAATATATATTTTTTGGTACTATTTTTTACTTTTTAGAGAATGTGATGCTTGGTTTACAAATAAGTTCTATATACCTCGGACTGACGAAGTCCTCTG